CTCTGGCCGCAGCTGGAGGCGCGGGCTATGGCATCAACTACCCGATCAGGCATGGTCAGATAGACAACTGGGTATGGAGAAGCCTGCAAATGGACATGAGGGTATACTGATGGCATGCAGGACCTTATGGAACGCTTCTGGTCCAACTCGATATTCAAGTACCTGAGAGTGGAGCCTGAAGACCACCACTTCCTCCTCACCGAGCCCGTACGCTGTGCTTCTACCACGATTAGAAAGACGACACTGACAGCCCATAGCCACTGAACCCCCCAGAGAACCGCGAAGCTACTGCTGAAATCATGTTCGAGTCCTTCAACGTTGCTGGTCTCTACATCGCCGTACAAGCTGTGCTCGCCCTGGCCGCGTCATGGACCAGCTCCAAGGTACAGGACCGATCCCTCACCGGTACTGTCATCGACTCAGGTGCTGGTGTCACTCACGTTATTCCCGTCGCCGAAGGTTACGTCATTGGCTCCTCCATCAAGAGTGTCCCCATCGCTGGTCGCGACATTACCAACTTCGTACAATCGCTGCTCCGAGAACGCGGCGAGCCCGACTCCTCCCTTCAGACTGCCGAGCGCATCAAGGAGGAATACTGCTACGTGTGTCCCGATATCGTCAAGGAGTTCGCACGCTTCGACCGCGAGTCAGACGACCGATTCAAGAAGCACACCGTCAACTACCCCAACGGCAAGACCACAACCGTCGATGTCGGCTACGAACGTTTCCTTGCGCCAGAGATCTTCTTCAACCCCGAAATCTATTCCTCCGATTTCCTCACCCCGCTCCCCACCATTGTCGACACCGTCATTCAATCCTCCCCCATCGATGTACGCAGAGGGCTCTACAAGAACATTGTGCTATCAGGTGGTTCAACACTATACAAGGACTTTGGTCGACGCCTGCAGCGTGACATCAGGCACATGGTTGATGCGAGGATCAAGGCATCAGAGGCGCGAAGCGGAGGTGCAAAGAGTGGCGGTCTGGACGTACAAGTCATTACGCATAAGAGACAAAGACACGGCCCGTGGTTCGGAGGTAGCTTGCTCGGTCAGACACCCGAGTTCAAGAGTTACTGCCACACCAAGGCCGAGTACGATGAGATTGGTCCCAGCATTGTCCGAAGGTTCGCGCTGCTGGGTGGGCCTGGAAGCACGTAGACGGCGAGATAAGTATCGTGAGAAACGTGCGTAAATGTTGGCATGGTTTTGAGCGAGCATGAGATGTACAGCAAAAATCTTTGACAATGAAAATACTCTCAACAAACTCGTGGAATCAATGTGCTCACCACCATTCACTAACCATACAACGAGGAATTTCCGTCATCATTCTCACGCCTCTCCATTCTGCGCAGCATTCTCCTTCCTCCTCAACACAGCCACACCCTCCACATGCCCCGTCTGCGGGAAAAAGTCAAACCCCCTCAAACTCTCAATCTCATAACACCCCTCGCCTTTCCCAAACCCGCCATCAACACCCGTCATCCCGCCTACTAGCACGCCCACATCCCTCGCCTGAGTATGCACATTACAACTCACATACACCACTCTTGCGGGTCCATACTGCACCAGCTGCCGCAAGAAGGATTCATCGCAGCCTTTCCTGGGCGGATCTAGCATGACGACCGTTTCGTCGGCGGGAGACTCGATGGAAGCGAAGAGACGGGCTGCGTCAGCGGCGATGAAGCGTGTGGAGGATTCTGGAAGGTTGTTCAAGCGCGCGTTTGTAGATGCGGAGGTTATGCTAGCGGGAGATATGTCGATGCCGAGGGAGGACTTGAAGAGGGAAGAGAGGGTGATGGTGAAGAGGCCGGAACCGGAGTATGCGTCGATCAGGTGGGTGATTTTATGATTGGGCGCTGATGTAGAGGAAGGTAGGATATTCTCGCGTATGTATTGTGTGAAGACAGGGAGGATGGAGTTGTTGTTCTGGAAAAAGGAACCAGCTGGGTTGACAAACTGGAAGTCGGAGATGTACTCTGTAGATTTGGCGTTGGGATCTGTTATACATGTTTTGCGGTGGATGTGCTCGCCTCTGTCTTCGATTACAGCATCTGAGTCTGTTTCTTTCGTGACATCATATTCATTTTTAGGAATACGCTTTGTGTCTTCGCGCAGCAGAAGCGTAGCGCCTTTGTGGTAGGTGGATATAGTGTCTGCGACGCGTTTTCGCTCTCGCTTGTTGCCTGCGCGGACGGCGTCTGTGCCAATGGGACAGTCTTCTATGTCAATCGTTGTACGTGTTCCTTTTTTCATGAAGCCAATGGGGGGTATTTCTTTAAATGTTCGCTTGATGCCATTTCGACCGTCACTTCGACGGGCGTCTGGAGGGCCGTCGAAATGAGGGGTTAGTTTTGTGCGATATCCGTACTGCAGTGGTGAACCAATTGTGTCGCCGATGGTGGGAATGAGCTCGGGTGGGAGGTTGGAGAAGTTCTTGTATGCCTTTTCGACAATGGTCTTTTTGTGTTGAAGTTGGAAGTCGTAGGGTAGCATTTGGAACTGACAGCCTGAGCAACTGGCGAAGTAGGGACATTTTACAAGAGAGTCATTGCGGTGATTTGAAGGCGTGATGACATTGACGAAGTCGGCCATGGAGTACTTTTCTTTCTCAAAGTGTTTGTGCGGTCGTGCTGTCACAATGTCTCCAGGTGCGCTAAAAGGCACGACATAGACTTGGTCCGAGTCGGAGTTTTGCTGGAAACCTAGGCCATCGCCAGTGGAAGATATCTCCTTGATCTCGACTGTGATCTCTTTGAACTTCTCTGGCAGTATTGTCGAGCCTTCCTTTCCTTCTCTTTGAAAATTAAGATTTTTGATAAGCGCAGTAACATCTTGCAATAAAACTTCCTCATTGGTGCCGTTCGTTTTTAAGATTTTACTCTGCTCAGCATGACCGTTCTTCATGCGCTTGTTCTTGAACCTGTAATTGCCTCGTGGTCCTTCCTCGCTCCGTAAAGGTGTCTCTGCATATCTTTTTGCGCCATTGCTTTCAATAGGCGCAACATTGTCGGCGGACGAAGCCATATTGTACCTAGCAGTTTGAGAATAGCGGCTACTGGCCAGCAGTGTCCGAAGCGGTCGAGTAAAGATCCGAGAGTACATGCAGCGTACGTGGAATGGAGAAAAGAGAAAGTTGAGTTAGTCACGGGAAGGGGAAGGCGGCGATTGGCTGGAGCGATTACTGCCATCCCGCTTAGTCACCTTTGAACTTTCCGAACTTCACTTTGACCATCACGCCGCCGCGCAGGCCACCCGCTATTACCGCCGTCCCGCGCTCAATTGGCCCTCAGTCGGAGGTTGAAGGGCAAAAATGAGCGTCTGCCGCCCCGCAAGATGTCTCTTCACCAAAGCAGCATCGACGACTCTTCCTAAACCACCTCCGCAACGCACTTTCCATGCTTCCGCACCCAGACAAGCCCGCAAGAAGAGACCACATTACCCGTCAATAAAAGCCGACGACCTCAAGCTCCTCAACCAAGCGGCGGAAGCAGAATACCCAAAGTACGATACCGCAGAGACGACGCTCCTTGAGAAAAAATACACCCCCTCGCAAATCGCCGCCATCAAAGCCGCAGAGTCTACAATCGACGCACGAGATGTCCTCACACAGGGCCAGCGAAGAACAGACCCATGGCGTCTCAACTACGAAGACGACCTCGCACAGGTAGACCCAGTAACAGACCGACCTGAGCGTCTGACCGGCGACGACATTGAAGGCTCCAAAACCTTCCGCATCGCCAACGAAGTCGAGCGCGACCAAAACATAACCCGGTTAGCAACGGAAAACCTCGCCAAAATGTATCCCAACGGCATACCAGAAGGCGAAACCGACGAGGCTTTGCAAAGCGCTATGGATGCAGCTGTCACGCAAGCCACGCTGGACCCACGTGCAACCTACACATCGAAGAACCCCGCCGCTTTGCAAGCCTTGGGAGACGAGCGCCACTCCGTCATCGCACCCGACCTCCCCCGTGTCGAAAGCCGCATGGCCCGCCAAACACGCCGCCTCAAGACCGAAGAGGAAGAGGACCCCCGGCAAAAACGCCTCCTGCAATACCTAGGCTGGGACAAGCAAAAATTGCGCCAGATCCGTGTCAAGACTTTGGTTGTCCACGGCGTCACGAACCAGACACGTATGGGCAAGATAAGAAGTCTGTACTACCTTACCATAGCGGGAAACCAAGATGGTCTATTAGGTGTCGGCGAGGGTAAATCCGTAGAACCGGAAGAAGGACGCAAGCAGAGTGTCATGAGCGCGATACGAAACATGCGTCCAGTTCCACGCTACGAGAACAGGACGACATTTGGAGACTTGGAGACCAAGGTGGGCGCTACTCGCGTCCAGCTCTTTTCCAGACCGCCAGGTAAGATAAAACCTCCTCATACTACCCATCACTCCAGTAAACTCTCCGGTTGCAATGCTAACTCGAATGCTCATAGGTTTCGGTCTCCGCGTCCAACATCTCATCTTCGAGCTCGCACGTGCAGCCGGCCTCCAAGACTTGTCTGCAAAAACCCCTCGTTCGAGGAACAAGATGAACGTGATCAAGGCGACATGGGAGGCGCTTACAAGTCAGAAGTTACCAGACGAGATTGCGAGGGCGAGAGGTAAGAAGTTGGTAGATGTTAGGAAGGTCTACTATGGAGGATCTATTCACTAGAATTCAATGCAGCAGAGTTGGATTTTGTGACTGGTTGTTCTGTTAGATATGGACAGGGTATGACTGAGATGTATCATATGCATGGTATGAAGTTGGGTGGAAAGGCTCATAGAGAGCTTGTGTAGATATCTTGTATCATATCACGTCATCTTGCATGTGTCCATGTCTGCTTGATGCGCGAGCGCTCTCTATTCTCTCTTACTGTCTTGCTCTCTAGTGGGGTATCATAGTCTCAGACTCTTTTATGCTAACGTTGTTTGGACGCACCATGCTCACTCCGACATTATGTCATATCCATCTATTCGTTTATCGTCCATGCCACTTCTCTCTTCCTTCTTCAGTCTCTTAACTCAGTGTTGTCATCACCAGCGTTACTGCCCCCCTCGGTGTCAATCTGCTGATTCAACACAATACTGTAAACACTAGCTTTCAACAGCGTAAACACCAAACTAGTTTTCCGCTCCAGGCCGCGCAGTCCGTCCAGTATAGCAGCGCTGGGGTTGTTCGACAGGTCTAGCAGGAGGGAGGAGAGCTACTCTGAGCGTTAGTGAGAATCAGAGGAAACGACTGACACGACTTAGCATCTTCAGTCGGTGGAAAAGGCAAAGACGAACAGTATTTAAGTTTCCCAACAACCGCGCATATTCATCCAAGACTTCTTGTTCGAGCGGCGTGAGAGTCTCCTCCCCGTCCGACATCTGGCTTGCTCCAAAGTTCTGCTCTCCTGCTGCTGCTGCTTCCGAAGCCATGGTTCTTCTGTACTCTTTGTGTCTTGTTCACAGATTCGATCGGGAGTTGTTTCGTTGACGCGCTTGTACGTGGGGAATCGGGGATCGCGTAGTCTGTAGTCGATGGAAGAGCGGCGGCGGCGGGGTGAGGTGACCTCGAGACTTTGTTGAATGCGTTTTCGTTTGTGCGCACAAGAGACAAAAGTACGCAGTACTGCCCTACTTGTTTATAGTAATTAATTTGTGGCTAGGTCTCGCGAGTTCTCACAGTCGGTAAGTAGGTTGAAGCGCAGCAACTGTTGTTGCCATCGCGTTGTTTACAATAAGCAAGAGGTCGTCGCGTCTTCCCCGCAAAATCCGCCTTACTTAATGCGCTTCTCACTCTAAACTTATTTTATGTCAGAACGCAGCCCTGCAACACTACGCTATGCAACCAAAAAGATGCGTACAATCAGTGAACTACTGAGATATGGTGCAGGGTAGTGTACATTGTCAGCCAGGCCTGACAGCACATACCTACTTCAATGTAAGTACAAAGTGAATAAGTTATCAAAGCTCATATCATGTAATTTTTCAGTTATTGATTTAGTTGTTTTTAAGAAAAAGACAGATCATGAAAGATCTACTCAGAACGTGTGGATGTAATTCTTTCTAAATCCTAATTGCTCTAGAATCCCAGGCGTGTTTCGTTTGCCTACTAAAAACATCTCCATACTTGGAGGCCCACATACGAAAACATGGTTCTCTTGGTCTCTGTGAGGTAATATGGTTTCCAAAAATTCCTTGTCGATGTGTCCCTGACGAGTGGTTGAGCCTTCTATCAGGTGGCTAACAGTGTAGAAGGCTTTCACACGGGCAGGGTAATCTTTCGCGACCTGGTCCAACTCCGACTTGAGTAGCAGACCATCGTTATCTTTACTGCCTAGGATAAGAGTGGTAGACGTCTTATCCTCTGGGTTCCGCAGGATGCCTTGCATCAATTGGAACACAGGGGTTATACCCGAGCCACCGGCAATCAAAATGACATGTGAAGTCAAGTTAGGCTTCCAAGAAAACCCCGGAATTGCCGCTACCACAAAGAGTTTCTCACCTACAGCTAAAGAATGTAAGTGTGTGCTTTGTTTCCCGCCTGGATAGCGCTTGACCAGTAAATCGACAACACCGGGATTATCTTCCAGGATCAGCATATAGAGTGGAGTTGCATGCGGTACTACAAACCTGGAGAGGTGATGGGAGTGTATGGTCGTATGACTGGCAGCCAGCAACTTTTCGGTAATGATGCAACCAACAGGGAAGCTGTATGAAAGTTAGCAAGCCCATAAGATGAACCAGAATATTACTTCGGCTTACAGGTCAAAGCAAGCCCACTAGATACTTGTTGACTTGGTAATGCAAAGCGAAGGCGCTTCGTGTCACGATTGACCACCTCGCTTGCTGCGAGAGTTAACCAAGTGAAGGCAGGTGCATTAGAACCGCTAGAGAAATTCCGAGCCCTTATCTTGGATGCAACGGCTAGGCCAACGCCGCTGGCAGCAAGAAGAGTTATGACAGAAGTGGTGCTGGCTCGTCGGATCACCATTGGAAAAGCCATACTGAACCATTGAACGCATGGATGTAAAGTAGAACGACAAAGATTCTATTCGGGAAACGAGCGGACAGAAGCCTATATACTGTAAAGAACATATTCGAGACAGTATGCGTCAACACACACACACAACAGAAGGGCTAAATTCAATACAGCAAAGTGCTCATGTTTCGTAGTGAGCGCAGCTCGTATGTGGCAGGACTTCGAATAAAAGTTCATCCAGCGGATCTTACCAGGGGCGGTATCTTCCAGTTCTAGGGCCCTTCAGTCCTCCGACTCTCCGACTCTCGGGCTTTCCGGACCTCTGGCTCTCCGAATCTTCATCTTTCTGAACCTCTAATTCTTCAATTCTCTATCCATACCGTGCGTGATACTTAGAACGGTTAAATCAGGGCTTTAGTGCTACGTTACGTTACAGAACTTAAATTTTCTCATCAATAGTGGCCCAACAACCTGCATACTAAGAATAGCTAGACCTCGATTTCAACACGCAATAGCTCTACTACTCTACTCCCGTACGAACATGTAGCTTGTGTTACGCATGGGCATAATAACGATACGGTTACGGTAGTGGGTCGGACTATATAAGTGCCGATGGATAAGCTTGTTGATTTTCAAAGAACCTTTCCAAGTTTTTAACACAATTGTCTTCATCTTCTCTCCCAGTGAACATGAATTTACTAGATCAGTCTCTCAACCGCCAAGTGTCTAAGGGGGCCTTAGTCGTGCAAGCAGTCGGGATCACAGCGAGCGCGTACCTCTTCGGTCAGTCGAAAATATTCTTTATTCTTGGGAAATTGCGCCTTTTAGGCTTTAGCATATCCACTCTCGCTCGTAGCAAAGTTGACATGCGTTCATTCAGGGCAAAATGCAGCCATCTCCTTAGTCGCTCTTCCCGCGGTTATGCAGGCTCCGGCTTCTCTTGCCATAGAACAATGGCACACCATCTACAACATCGGCCACTACTTTGCTCCGCTCGCCATTCTGGGTGCTCTTGCAACTGGCTACACTGCGTACTACCGTATGTATACACTTCCGATTTATCTCTGTGCTTCGTTCTGCTGTCTATCGTTCAGAATCACTAAAAAAGACGATAGAGAATCCTAGCTCCACCCCTTTCAAGTTCAACCTCGCCGCGATTGAACCTAGCTCGTGCAGCTCTCGTTGGCGCTGGTGTCTTTTGCGCCGTTTGGGCCGCTATAGACAAATAACAGGGAAGCTCCGCATATTATAAGAACTGACAAGGTTCGTTAGTGTAATGTGCTGTGTAGCCTGCTTGCCAAACCCTTAACAATATCTTAGATACATGCCTAAGCGCTTTATTTGTGATTATGCACAAGCGTACGCAGGTATATTTTATAGTAAAGCTCTACTAATTGGAGCTCAACATAAAATATAGGCATACTAGGGATTATAAGAGGCTACGCCTAAGTACTGCAAGAGGCTACACTAAAGCACTTCATACCTATCTATCTTTATTAGCGTACAGAGAATAAATACAGCATAAAAAGAATGTTACTCTTCTTCTTCTTCTTCTTCCGTGTATAGGAGTGAACGCATACTTGTTAGCACGCTTCGTACATCAAAGAAAGTAGTAGATTAACAATTTAATAAGCTAGTTTCTAGGCCCCCTCCTCCTTGTCCATCCCAACTTGCCAAATCATCCCAAACATACATAAGGAACTATATAACCAAGGAGAAATGTTGTATACAATCTGGTGTAAAGTGCGAAAATACGGTCTTGCGGGGGTATATATTCCAATCCAAAAGACAGAACGCGAGCAAAGCAGCAAGCATTAGGTACCAAGGTGAAGACACCAACCAAAAGAGAAAGAACCAGGACGTAGTCAAAGACAGGAACGCTCATACGAGCTAAGATAAAACAAAAAGGAAATGGTTAACAAAGGAAAAGGTTTTCAGTTTCGATACGGCAGAGAATTCTACCGTTGCAATTCCCTCCCAAAGTTCAACGCCAAAGGCGTCAATTCACCATCAACAGTACTCTCATCATCGTAGAAACCACTTTCACTGAACGGTTCCATTTCAGCATCTTGGTCGTACGCCTGCTTCCTCATCAGAGGGGGTGTACGCGGCTGCTTGCCGAGCGCTGGGAACCCTACTTCGGTTGACGCACGGGAGCTATTGGAATTTGAGCGCATGACTGCAGGACGCTGCTGCGATGAAGAAGCAGTTGAGAGCTCGGATCCACGGCGCGCGTTGGAGGTTGGCGGAGTCATAAGGCCCGAGAGGAAGGATTGTGCAGAGTGGGGTTGCGCGCGCGAAGGCGTCTGGGTACGTGCGGTAGGCTTAGTGGAGGAGTTGCCTGCGAGAGCAGACGTAGCTTCGCCGCGGCCCTTGCGCCAATTGCCGATAGCGGCAGCGAGCTGGACTGCTTTAGGTGACGCAAAGTTGGAGAGGGAGCTCAGGGTGGGGAAAGATTGTTGCCCGCCTGAAATGAGACGTTCCTTCTCGGATTGCTCCATCTGCAAGTTTGTGCGGATGCGGATTGCGGCGTCGCGGACGGTCTCGCGGTCGAAGGTTGGTTGAGCAAGAGAGTTGATGAGGTCATTCAGGTCATCGACGCGTACGCCAAGTAGCTCACGGAGCCAGTTGATCTCGGTGTCGCGCTCCTTCAATTTAGCAGGAGCCTCAGTGTCAACTTCTTCAAGCTGACGCTCAAGAGACTCGATACGTCCCTCCCGCTCTTGTAGCTGCTCCTGGAGAACACCGATAGACTCGCGCAACGCCTGAGCTCCTGCGCCGCCACCGAACGAAGAAGTCGTAGGAGACTTGGCTGCTGCTGCGGCAGCGGCACTGGCGGCTTCCTTCGCGACCTGGAGCTTCTCTTCCAGCAACGCAATCTTGTCCTTGAAGTGGTCGAGCTTGGAGTCGGCCAATGCAAGCTTGTCGTTGTGGAAAGCCTCGGCACGCTCCTTGTCTTCACGGGCAAATTCGAGAGCGCGAGCATGCTCGTGCTTGATGTGCTCAAGTTGACGCTCAAAAGTGCGCTGCTGCTCATGCAGACTGTGCCTGTTGTTCTCCACTGCTTCTTGCACAGCTTGCTTCTTGAGGTCCGAAGCCGCCTCCAAATCCAGCTCGTGCTTCTCCTTGGCAGTATCAGCATCCAAGCGAACCTGGTCCAGTTCGGCGCGGACACGGGCGATCTCGCTCTCAAGCTCGTGGCGAACAATGTTGACCTGGTTGTTAGCTGCATCAACATCGGCCTCCATGAGCACGCGGGTGCGGCGGATCTCAACGTGCGCAGCATCCCTGGCCTCTCGCATGTCACGCTCGTAGCGTTGGGCGTTCCTCTGGTGCTCCATAGACTCCTTCCTCAGCTCTTCGATTGTCTCCTCAAGTTTGGCGTTGTGCTTCTGAGTTTGCTCGAGATGGATCCTGAGTCTCATACCTTCACGCTCCTGGGTTTCCAAGCGCT